CCTAGCACAGAGAATGGGAGTTGGGGACTCGGAGGATCTGAGCCATGTTGGGGGACTCTACCAGGCCAAGCAATGCTGGCACTTGAAGCCACCTGAGTCTGACTTGGAGGGATTGTCAAGCTAAGTGCCAGACTCAGATGAGGGCTCTGCCAATGGTGATTTGCTGGGGCTACCATCCGGCTATGTCCTCTCCCCCCTCTCTTTATGTGATCTTGTTCAGCTAGGCTTCGAACATTGTCGCTGATACCATTTGTGCAGTACCGCAAGTGGCCAAGCAATGTTATTGCAGCAGCACGACACCATCCCCTATCTGCAACCTCATCTGTTACCCACACTATCACCGTGATTAGCCCAACTGGTAGTCTGGTACTTGGCACAATACAATCATTGGCCACTTACAACAGTCTATGAGCTCGCTCTCAGTCTGGCATTGTGCTCTCCTGTTGGCCTTCACATCATCCTCATCCTGCAATCTCAATGAAATAAGGTCAGCATAGAAGCATTTTTCACAGTAAACTTTTGCTTTTCCAGATTTTTCGGTTCCAACAAAAGCTTCAGAACGACCAGCTTTAAGTCCAGGGTGATCAATGAAGTGTGCTTGCCACCATCCTCAATTGTGTGAGGTGCCAGTGGTTGAATCTCGAGGCATTGTAGCAGGCCTGGGTGTGTGTGGTGGTGGCAGACAATAGTAGCAGCCACATGTATGTCGCATTCCATTCCAAGTTCACAGTGCTGCTTCATTATGTCAACTCGAGATGTCTTACGGTACAAAGCAGGTGGTCAACTCCATTAGTGATCTAAGTAACTCTTATCTTATCAGTGCCTTTTATGGGTAAAAGACCCCGAATGCAGCTGGACCTCAAATACTAGTGGCAGTCATGGGTCATCTAATGGTCATGACCAGTCAGTGGTAAGTCACAGACTTTGTGACCATGACTTTCATGTTACAGTCATGGTTGGTATTCACTGGTAGGGAATCCAGGAGGGGGACTTTGGCGAATTTGCTCATCTTGGCCTTTCCTTTGGGCTCCAGAGCCTCTGGCTGCTGTTCAGCAGGTTGGGGTTCAGGGATCCCTTGGTCAGCGTCAGGCGCGGGTTGGATAGCTTTGTGGGGGAGCTGATCTTGTTCCGTGTCCCATGCCTCACCAAGTCGGGCAATGGCTTGTTCATCGTTGATGTTGAGGGCTTGGTGGAGAGCCTCACGGATGGGAGCATAGATGTTGGAAGCAAAGTCAGGTCGCCTTGCAGGACCGGCGACAGGCATGGTTGGAGAGACCGAGAGGACTAGAGAGTCAAAGGGAGTGTAGGGGAAGAAAAAGAGAGGGGAAGAGAGGAAGAAAAAGAAAAGGAGGGTGCGAGAAGAAAATACGGTGAGGACAAAGTCTGGGACAGTGAGGACGAGCAGGGAGGTGGTGGAGCAAAAGGAAAGAGAGGTGAGGCACCGCTAAACTCTGCTCGTCCGAAGACTAAGCACTGTGGCTGTACTCGTACCTCGCGTAGCCTCAGTGCGGCCAAATTCGTGACCGTGCCTCGTTCATGAACGTGTCCAGCTTACATAAACCATTACATCTATGTCTTTCGCAGAGGCAACTCCCGCTGCAGGACGACCCGCTTCACATAGCGGACATCTCTGCTGTCTTCGACGAGTACCTCGAGCACGAGAATTATATGAAGGGGAAGGGAACACAACAATAAGTTTACCACGAAACGAAACGCCGAGCAAAGTGACGAATATGATCTGGAAATTTTCTTTGGGATATGAGAAGTTGAGCAATGAACTGATGACCAATATGATCTAGCCGAAGTGGGATCTTGTGGGAGCAATGAACTGGATGAAGAGGGAAGTATGCTCCGATGAATTTGGAAGATAACTTGTCCATGGGCAACCGCCATAGTGGCATCATCCCGGCCCTTTAGCAACACGGTATAGGTGAGATGCCACTGATGCAGCGCAAATGGTCGTCTTCTCTCAATCTGATTCGCTGGCTAGTAGTCGGGGAAGCACGAATTCAAGTTTGAACGAGCCGACTAGAAGTGACAGACGCCCTCGAGCTCTACCGATATCTAGTCACTGGTGATGTCCAGACCCGAGGCTCCAGAAGGATCTGAATGGCAGAACACGGATAGGGGCAGAAGTTCCATATGTAAATAACACCACTTTGCAAATTCACATCCAAAAACACAACACATCGACGCCATTCTAAGGTATCCCTTCACCACTGCCTGCAACGCTGAAAGCTCAGAGTAGTTTCTGGACATTTTGTCTAGTCCCAAATCAAACACCTTGTCTGACAGCAGTGCAGTGTACACTGTACAGCGCCGACGGCTGTTCTCTGTCGTTCTCACCTTGAGAATCCAAGCATCATGAGATCATCTCAAATATCCACAAGGCGCATCGTTATCAATGGTTTGTACCATGCACTGGCACTTTCTCATGCATAAGGAGAAGGTGCTGTTCAACTCAGACGTACTGGTTACTGATACGATTGTCGTCAACAGTCGCACTGCTCATAGTGACGCAGGTGTGTCCCGACTCCCCAGCCAACCATGTCTGGTTTCGAATGCTAATGTGGTTCACATTATCTGTGATCTTTCCTCCAGGTTGCTACACACTATGCATACCGTGTGCGTAGCAGTTCGTCGTCGCCTACCATCTTCTGTTTGTTACAACTTGGCGCTTTGAACAGTCTTGCTCACTGTCTCTCTAATAGTGGATTGTTGGTCAAATCCCAGTGGACAAGAAAACTGATAAACAACGAGCACAAATCATTGGCAAGTTGGGAAAGAAAGGGTTGAAACTTGACGAATACGAGCGTGCGTGCACTCACTATTCATCACGCGCTCTTTTTCTAAATCTTCATAGTATCCATATCGAAAGAGGTCGTATGCCCAGACGATATCCAAGTACGCTTTGAAGGTGGGCAACCATCTTTGCTCCGCTCAAATTCATTCGAGCTAACTTGAGTGATGCAGACATCGGCGGCCTCGATTCCATCATCGCTTCTCTTCGCGAATCCGTTATATATCCTTTGATGTATCCACATCTGTTCACGTCCTCTTCCTCGCTCCTCAGCGCACCAAAAGGAGTCCTTCTCTATGGCCCTCCCGGATGCGGCAAAACCATGCTTGCCCGTGCCCTTGCCAAGGAATCTGGAGCTACATTTATCAACATTCCTGCATCAGTGCTCACTAACAAGTGGTTTGGAGAATCCAACAAGCTTGTTGCAGGACTGTTCAGTCTTGCTCGCAAGATGCAGCCAACCATCATCTTTGTGGATGAGATAGATACGTTCTTGAGGGAGCGGAGAATGGATGATCACGAGGTGATGAGCATGATCAAGGCCGAGTTTATGACGTACGTCGCTCCTTCCAGTTTCCCAACCGGACATTCTCTAAGGCATGGAGAACACAGGTCTTGGGATGGTTTGACGTCAGGGGAGGATCGGATAATGGTTCTTGGGGCCACGAATCGTCCGATGGATATTGATCCGGCTATTTTGCGTCGCATGCCAAAACGATTTGCCGTTGGTCTGCCGAACGTGGAGCAGCGATTAAAGATACTTACCTTGGTATGTTTTTTAGTCAAACGGTTTTCAGCCTAGCGCCAATGTCGAGACTGACGAATCTATAGATGCTGAAAGACACAAAACTGGATCCTTCGTTGACCCTGGACGTGCTCACAGCCAAGACCACTAGTTTTTCAGGCTCGGATCTCCGTGAACTCTGTCGGAGTGCTGCCATGGTACCTGTGCGTGAATGTATGCGGGAGATGGTACACGACGAAGAAGCAATAAAGAGAATCGAGGAAGAGGTGCGTCGTCAATCTGTCGTTCCTCGTCTAATTAATCACGGTTCTTTATTCAGGGTTTTACGATACGGCCATTGTCGTTGCATGATTTCTGTGACGCCGAAGGTTCGACCGTTGACGTTGACCGACCCTGATCCAGAGGACGAACCATTTCCCATCAATGGACACCGTGGCACATTGCCCGAGGAGAAGCGGCTGGAAGAGATCATGAAAGCGGTCAATGAGATCACGGCTCGTAGTATAGATGATGGTGCTACCGGCGCGGATCTTGAGACTCGGTGATCGGTGCAGGCTGTAGCCTGTGGGCAACTGGAACACAAACAGAGTACTCCAGGGTACACTTTCTGTGTAGTAGATGTGCTTAGAACACCGCTCTCAAACATGTGTATTCAACGTCTTTCAGGAAGGAACGGTCTCAACCAGAACCGGGCTTTGTACATACATGACATAGAACACTTGTATCAAATTGTATGGAGTGAACTCGTTCGCCTGCAACTCCTCACTGAAGAATGATGATACGCGGAGCAGCCTGGGGCAGATCCAGCTCAGAAAACACGAGATCTTCTCCGGAAACCTGATCTGCGGTGTCACAAAGCCCGCATAGTTCCTGTTGCTCGTAATCCCGTTCTCTGGTTGCACCAGACTGGAGAAAAGCGCATCCTCGACCTCTGTAAAGCCCACTGCAAGATGAAACTCGGAGAGCGACAAGTCCCTGATGTGTCACCCGCGATGGATTCCCCCAGCCCGATGAGGATCGTACATCGTTACCGAGAAGTTGGTATTATATGGCGGTAGTGGCTGCGGGAGCCGGAAACGCAGGTTTCCCGTCCTGTTTCGAGAGGCAGGATCAGGAAGTTGAATCGATGAACATATGAAGTGTTGGGGTGAGTTTGACGCACGGAGATCGGGCAAATGGAATGCCAAGGAACTGATTAGTAGATCCTGAGGGAACGCCCGTCACGGTCGCAGTGTCAAGGGTTGCCATCGGTGCCGCACGCCGCCGCACAGGCCCTGCTCAGGCTGTCACGCAACTCGGACATAGCACAGTCAAGGAGATCAGTAGGGATGACCAGCCCGCCTGCAACACGGTCAGCAACAAGTACCAGACGGAGAGGTGGTGACTATGTTTGATTGATCTACATGCGGTGCAACCGATGTATGATGAGAAAAGCTATCCGAATTCCGCAGCTCGGGGTACATAGCGCAGTGGTAGCGCGCATGCTTTGCAATCGCTCGTATGAGCGAACGTGTATGAGGTCCAGGGTTCAATCCCCTGTGTATCCAGAAATTTTTTGCCTTTGTTTCTTTTTATTGAGGTGTACACTATGCATGGAGGAAGATCGTTGCGTTGATACGATCTCTAATACCGAATGTTTCCTGATACTGGCTGGTGCCGAACCAACCCTAATGAATAGGAAGGTTAAGTTATGGAACGCGCTTCATTTGAGTACTCACGTGATATTGAGGGTCGAGAACGAATAACGTGCCTTCGTCATCCCAATTGCCTTGCGTGCCAAACAGTCAGGATCCTGTCAGATAACCTGAAGAAGCAAGAACGAAACTTACCGCTAATGAATGTTATGTTCGCAACAGATCCCCGTTGAACCAGGTATTGTGGGTGGTCCGTCAAGAACGCACCATCTACACGAGGTAACCATGTCAATACGAGCGATTTGAGACCACACGCATTCGTACACCTGAACCGTCAGTCACATGGTATCTTCGAATTCTCCAGAGAATATACCTGATACAAAGATACCCCGGGAGACTGGTTCACTGCATTCAGCAACGTCTCATGTGGTACCTCGCGCAAACATTGCGATATGTCCGTTGAGCCAGAGCACCCCGTCTCCGCAACCGGCGAATCGTAGTATGGTTGTCCATGCGTGATGTACGGGAATTGGTGATCCACTTTGCATGAATGCTGCTCGGAATGGACTATCTGGATTTCCTCTGTTCATCATCATGTGCAAGCCAACAGACTTTGCTCCCGCACTCTGACCCAAGCTGTGCAACGACGGCATGTCCTCGTCAGCGTACAGTATAGAACACAGGTCGAAAGCTATTACATCGAGACCTTGGTAGGATCTCCTCCAACTGCAGTGATGTATTTTGTATCCATTGCAGAGCAAGGCGTTCTGATTCGCAAAGAACAGAAATAAGCAAAAGAACGATGGGAGACTGAAGGAAAGACCTACGACCCTGGAGGCCCCATCAGACTCGGACCTAGAAATACGTGGATTTCCTACGCACAATCCTCTGCAAAATGGGCGACAGGATAATCGATCTCGGCGGGTAGACTAGACAGTAGCGGGAATTTACGTGCCTGTTGGGGACAGGCGGGACCATACGTCGTTACGTGGATACAGGTGTTATATAGTGGCAGTGGCTGCGGGAGCCGAAAACGCAGGTTTCCCGTCCTGTTTGGAGACAGGATTCAAGTTAACAAGTTAAATCAATGACTTGTATAAAAAGTGTTGGAGTAAGTTTGACATACGGAAGCTAGGCGAACGGAATGCCTCGAAACTGATTAGTAGATCCTGAAATGACACCTGTCACGGTCGTATTGTCCAGGATGAGATGACCATCGGTGCTACACGCGCCCGCACAGAACCTGCCAGTTAGAACATTGCGCAGCACAACATGGTCGAGAAATTTACAGAATGAACCACCTGTCTGCGACATGGTCAGTAACAAATACCAGGCGGAAGTTGTTATGTTTGACCAACAAATCATGGTGTAATCGATGTATTTATTGAGATACGGTGCATATTCTGCACGTTTTTCGGGTTGCGTATTTTGTTTGGTCGTTGGGTCATACAGACTGCGTCGAAGAAGAGATACATGAAGGCAAGTCAGAGGGAGGGATGGTGAAGTTTGTGGATGTATGGGCCAATATTATACACACATACCCGCACTCCAAAACGATGTTTCAAAACTTCCACTCCACTCAAGTACTTCGAGTCTTTTCTTTTACATAACTGGATCGCCTAGCCTCAGTTTCTGTTCACACACGTTCCGAATTGAATACTGAGGGCTGCCGATTCGAGCGACTGGAAGACGTCCTAGGACTCCGGGCATGTACCATGTCACCAAGCTTTTGTCCCGATAGGCTGACATAGCAGTGTATCAGGTCCTTCCGTTTGCTTCGAGACAGCATGAAAACCATCCATACGCATGAGATGAAGTCATCGTTCATGTTCGGGAACTAGAATCAAAAGCTGAAACCATGAATGCCGGCGTATTTGGTGACGATGTCCACGGTGCGACCTCTTCCACGCGTAGAACAGCAATGTTTGAATATTTTTTTTTAAGTCAGATCTCTGATGAAGCTTCTTACATCCTCCCTTTGCGGCCGACCCCCATTACGTTCCCGAGAGTATAACATATTGACCAATATGCATTGGATCCAATGCGATGCGATCGATTCGCTAATGCCGCGACCGGATTTCTTGTATGAGTGGTGATTCGGGTCCTGCCAACACGTCAACTATATGGGGGAGTTCGGACTGGAGATGGCACATATAAGATCATTTGGATCACTTATAGGAACAATCCTTCATCCTGAGCCTTCCCGACCTAGCCCAGTACTCAGCCACCACGCGATATCAGTTCCCTCGTATACTCCGAGCCCAACGACTAAGGTAGGCTTTGCTTGAGATCCAACATTCTTTCCATCGACCTTGACCCTAGCGTAGTGTGTTCTCGGATCATGTTCAATGCAAGTACATCGTTGTTGATGCTCTTGGCCGCTGTGGGTATTCATGAGTCAACGGGGCCTCATGTGGTGGAAATGTGCACGGCGCCAACGGCCATCCTCGACAGTGCAGCCGTGACAGGAATCAGCTCTGGACACACCAACCAGTTCTTAGGCATTCCGTTTGCCCAACCACCGTACGTCATTAATGTCACTATCTGTTATAGTTCATTCAATCGCCTCACCTTCTTGCTCTTCTTTACAGGACAGGAAATCTGCGGTTCCAGCTTCCCCAGTCGTTGCCACCATACAATGTCAGCTTTTCAGCTACAGAATACGGACCTTCGTGTCCCCAACAGATATGAAGCAGCCACCAGGAATGGTTCCCCCCGCTTTAAATATCAAATATTTCGCAGAAGACTGTGTGTATCAGAGCCTGTGGCGTTTCGTTCACCTGTAAATGCCAGACTGAACGCGTATGGGTGATTTAGGTCTGACATTGAATGTGGTCACCCCCAACACCGCGACTCCCGTGTCCAACTTACCCGTGCTGGTGGTGAGTAACATCCCACTTTCTCCCCCTAGGAAGAAGTAACGTTTCCGGAAGTGGATATACGGGGGTGGTTTTGAGGTTGGTGGTACAAGCATGTAGGTCTTGTTCGCCTCTGGTTACCAGCATTTCACACCCCATGTCATCACAGATACAACGCAAGCCTTATCATGGAGAAGGCAATTTCGCTCGGTGTCCCTTTTATATACGTCAGTATCAACTATCGGTGAGTACTTTCGTGCCTTCCGATACTGCGACAGTGAATGCCTAACTTGGGAAAATCATGTCAAGTTTAAGCGGTGCGTGGATATGCTCAGCCACTTCGACATCTTCCTTCATGTGTACCAATCGTCGCGTGCCATCTAGCTTTCGGATTCCTGGCGAGTCAAGAAGTTAAGGATGCAGGCGTTGGAAATTTGGGTCTCCGTGATCGTATGTTTATTTTGCTCTGCGTCCTCCAGTTGATGAAGACTGTTGAATCAGAACGCTTGGCTCTTGAATGGGTACAGAAATATATCACCGCTTTTGGAGGAGACCCAACCAAAGTAACCATGTGAGAACGTGTTATTGAACTGCGTCCCCCTTTCGTGTTACATTTACTCTTTCCATCATACACAGTTGGGGAGAAAGTGCGGGCGCTACATCTGTCGCCATTCACATGGTGGCGAATGGAGGCCATCCAAATGGTCTATTCCATGCTGCAATCATGCAAAGTGGATCAACTTTTCCACTCGGAGATATCACTCAGGGACAGCCGTACTATGATGCGCTGGTCGCGGATACAGGGTGTTCCGGCGCGACGGACACGCTGAAATGTTTGCGTCAGGTTCCGTACGGGACCTTGTTGGACGCCGTAAATCAATCACCAGGGATTTTTGCATACCAGGTATGTCTTCCTTGAAAACATGTTTCGACGTACGACGTACGACGATAATGACTGATCGCCCACTCGGTAGTCGATTGCGTTGGCATGGATGCCTCGTGTGGATGGGGTATTCTTGACGACCGACCCACGGTATTTGGTTCAGCAGGGAGCTGTTGCAGACATACCGTTCATCTCCGGTGATTGTAAACTCGCATTCTTTCTTCGCCGTTACTGATGAATGATGATTTGTGGTTCGTAGGCAACTGCGAGGATGAAGGGACTATGTTTGCATTCTCAACCTTGAACATCACGTCAGTCGCGCAGAAACAAATTCTCTGTGGTTGCGAGTTCGGGAGATTCAACTCACTTTTTCCAGGACGGACGCGCAATTCGAGGAATACATCCATACCTACTTCTTGCCGAATGCCTCGCCTGCTGAACTCACGCAACTGATGTCGCATTACCCTTCGGACCCTGCCCATGGATCACCTTTTGGTTCGGGCCATGAGCATGCACTCTCGCCGCAGTTCAAGCGAATGGCCGCCTTCCAGGGGGACTTCATCTTTGAAGTGCCACGGCGGTTCTTCGTACAGAATCTTTCTGGAAAGCAGAGCATTTGGACATATGGTACGTGACCTGTCCGGCCACAAATTTCCTTGTTTATTTATCTTCCGCTTCGACAGTGAGCAAACGGATGAAGGATACCCCTTTTCTTGGAGCTGTGAGTCAAAGGCAAATGTCCTTCCTCCCATCCAAAGTGTACTGAAGACCATCTTACCATGTCAGGCCCACACATTTGACCTGCTGAACGTGTATTCCGGCGGGGACATGGCCTCCTACTTTGTCCGCTTTGTGACGAATCTCGACCCTAATGTAGGAGAGACCACGGACCTGTATTGGCCCCAATATGATGTAACGACCAATGAGACAATGCTGGAATTCTTGGATGGGTCGATTCCACAGGCGTTGACCATGGATACGTATCGTGCAGAGGCGATGGCGTATTTGACACATGTAACATTGGCGCATACGTCGTACTAGCGAAAGAACGGTCCGAGGGAGACGACGACGCTGTGCCATGAGGTCAACTCGTCGAATGTACAAGTACTTACTATGTGTCGATGTATGTATGTGGTCACTGTTGCAGAGATTTGTGCTCACGACGCTGATCA